GGACTATGGCCAGTTTACAGAGATATAGTGAAGATAAAGATTTTTTTCCAAAAAGATAAAAATCCCAGGGCCAAAGAGAGCTTTGCCTAAAAATCCCTTTTCCTCTTTCCTATCTGGTAATATCCCTTTCATTTTTGAGAATCCAATGAGATCAGCTCTATGAAGCAAAAACACACAGCTTTATTGAGACGTAATTTGCATATCACCCAATTCACTCATTTAAAGTGCATACATAATTCAGTGGTTTCTGGTATTTTACACTATTAATTATAAAAAATGTGATTAAATAGATATAAAACTTTTCCATTTTAACCATCTTAAGTGTATAAATAAATGACATTAATGACATTCACAATGTTGTGCATCCATCATGACTATTTCTAACCCCCTTCATCTCTCCAAACGGAAACTCTGTGACCATGAAACAACAGCCTGTTCTCCCCTCATGAAGCACGCTTACCTGTGCCAGGCTAAGTTCTCCCCTCATGAAGCCCGCTTACCTGTGCCAGGCTAAGTTCTCCCCTCATGAAGCACGCTTACCTGTGCCAGGCTAAGTTCGCCAAACTTGTTTTAGGTGCCCATGGAGGTGGACTTACATCTTTCAAATCATTCACTTTTTGTCATGTTTACATGTTTGTACCTTCCACTAGATTGGCCATAATTACCTTTCTATCCACTTGCTCCATCAGATAAACAAAAAAAATAAGTAAACATACACATACAATTATAGAAATAAGGGAAAATAGAGTTGAATATTTAGAAAATTAAAGTGTGGTGAACAGTCTAAGGTTAGAAGCAATACAAGTTGTGTGACAAAAAAATTTTTAACTGCTTTAAATATGAAATACCTCTAAAAATGTCAAGCAGTAAATGGGTTAAAATATTTTGTGTAAAATTGAGAGACTAGATGTGACGATGAAATAAAGAACTGATATTAACTGCAAAATAAAAGAAACATTGAGATCGAAATTTAAAAATTATCCAAAGGAAATAGACCATTCAGAGGAGAAGAAACAAGTATTTGAGGAAAACTAAAGTTGAAACACACTGGTATTAAAATACACACATTTTAGCCTGGCCGATGTGGCTCAGTGGTTGAGCACCAAGCCAGGCACCAGGAGGTCGCCAGTTCGATTCCCAGTCTGAGCACATGCCCAGGTTGTGGACCAAAGTCCCAGTGGGGGGCGTGCAGGACGTGGTCAATCCATGTTCTCTCTCATTGATGTTTCTCTCTCTCAAATCAAGAAAATTAAAAAAATATATATATATACACACACACACACACAAATAATAAATCTCCATTTTCACCTGTAAAATTTGCAAATAGTTTTTTAATTGAATTTATTGGGTTGACATTGGCTAAATCCTATAAGTTTAGACATACAATTCCAAAATACTTCATCTGCATATTGTATTGTGTGTTTACCACCCAAAGTCAAGTCTCCTTCCATCACCATTTATCCCCCCTTTACCGTCTTCTACCCCCACCCCTCTTTCCCTCTGGCAATCACCATTCTGTTGTCAGTGTCCATGAGTTTTTCTTCTTTTTCTTTGCTTAATCCTTTCATCCTTCTCACCCAGCCCCCAACCCCCTCCCCTCAGGCAACTGTCTGTTTTCTGTATCCATGAGTCTGTCTCCACTTTTTAGTTCCTTTTGTTCATTAGATTCCATATAGGAGTGAAATCATATGGTACTTGTCTTTCTCTTACTGGCTTATTTCACTTAGCATAATGCTCTCCAGGTCCCTCTGTGCTGTTACAAAATGGAAGATTTCCATCTTTTCTATGGCTAAGTAGTATTCCATTGTGTCAATACTACCCAAAGCAGTCTACAGATTCAATACAATTCCTATCAAGATACCAATGGCATATTTTACAGAACTAGAACAAATATTCCAAAAATGTATAGAGAGCCACAGAATAGCCACAGCGATCTTGAGAAAGAACAAAGGTAGAGGAATCACGCTGCCTGATATAACCTCTGCAACAAGGCCACAGCATCAAAACTGCACGGTACTGGAATAAAAACAGACATATGGATCAGTGGCACAGAACAGACAGCCCAGAAATAAACTCATGCCTTTACAGTCAGTTAATATTTGACAAAGGAGGCAAAAACATACAGTGGGGTGAAAATAGTTTATTCAATAGATAGTGTTGAGAAAATTGGACTGACATATGCAAAAAATGCACACCCCCTACTGGGGATCGAGCCGCAACCTGGGGATGTGCCCTGATGGGAAATCCAACCGGGACCTCTCAGTCCATGTGTCAACGTTCAATTCACCAAAGCACACCGGCCGGGCAGAAGGTGGATTTTATATGAATCTTTTATTCCAGCAACTATTAGAATATGATATATGTGATGTATAATTGTTTTGTCATCACTAAATATATTGTTCTAAAAACATCTTTGACAGAAGTTATGATGAAGAAATCATATACCTGGGCTTTAAGTCTCTCCATATAAATATTATAAAGCAGTCAACTTCAATAACAAAATGAAGCAAAAAAACCAAACAAGTCAATGAATAAACAAATGGGTAGGTTTCCAGTCTTGGCTCATGTACGTCATTTTAGGCCACTAGCTAAATGTGCATTCATGGGGTATAGGAGGCTCCTGGAACTGAAACAGACTTTAAATTGGTGGTGCATTTCCTCCAGTTACCTCAAGGGCCAGGGCTTCAGATACAATAATTGATACAAAGAGGTAGACTTGATTCAGTCCCACTCTGCCTAATAAAACTCTCTTATTGTTTTATGAACTTGACTAGGTTTAATTAGATCTATTGCCCAGAGTCTGTTCAGCTGGTAGTAAAATCACAGGGTCCATACAGGTCACCTCTACAACTGTGGTTTTATTCATCCTGGCTACTTGCTAATAGGAGTATAACCAATAAAGTGTTTTACATGTGCCTGTAGTTCTCCATGGCTTATAATATACTCCCAGATTCAGTAATTATGTATAGACTAGCTTTCCTATGATGTATCCCACGGACTACCAGTCCTACAGAGTATTAAGAAATGCTGTGCAGAATAGCAAGGGAGTGAATGGCACCATTATGTAGTCTACTTCACCCTTACAGCAAATGAATCACCTCATCCTGCGATTTGTACCTCCCAAGTGTCTGCTGAGCCCAGCCAGTTCACTCACTACTGCTGGCTCTGTCCTGGTAGAAACCCTCATCATTCCTCAGTTAGGTCATCGCAACAATCTCCAGGGCTGGTTTTCTTGTCTTGTTTCCTTCAGTCTGTTCCCCACACTGTACCCAGACTAATGTTTCTCAAACAGATGACTTTTACTTGCTTGAACCCTTAATGTGACCCTATAGCTCTGAGGATGAAACCCAAACCCTTTAATACGTTTGCAAGGACTTCCCAAGCTCTGTGGCCTCTCGTCTCACTTGGATGCTGCCTTGCTCTCTGTCAGTCAAACTGAACCTTTATTTCACAAATGGACCATGTTCTCTCTCAACTCCAGCATTTCACATGCCTACCTTTAGACATCATTTCCTCCACATCTGGGAAAATGCTAGTCCCTTCTTTTTTTTCTTTATTGATTTTAGAGAGAGGAAGGGAGAGGGAGAGAGAGACAGAAACATCGATGAGAGAGAACATCGATTGGCTGCCTCCTGTATGCCCCCCATTGGGGATTTGGCTCACAACCTGGGCATGTGCCCTAACCAGGAATCGAACCGGCAACCTCCTGGTGCATGGGTTGACACTCAACCACTGAGCCACACCGGCTGGGCTAGACCCTTAATTTTATACTGCATTCTGTTATTCCCCAAAACACTCATTACACTATTAAATTTTCAATATATTTTTATATCTTTTGATAAATGGTAAGCTCGGTGAGGCAGTAACTCTATTTTTCACCATTCATTCATTCATTCATTCATTCAATTTGTAAACAGTTGTTAGCACCTTCTACATTCCAGAGATAGCTCTAGGTGTTTGGAAGTCAACATTCGAGTGGAATGGAAAGATAGCAAACAAACAGATTTGTAACATAAGTCATCAGAATACGGGATTTGTGATGCTATTTTTAAAAGTGGTCAGAACAAAATTAACCCAGAGACGTACAGGTGGGGTATAGACTCATAAGCCTCAGAGGAGGGGGGTTGGGGGGAGAGATGAACCACAGAACTTACATGCATGTATACATGACCAATGAACATAGACAACAAAGCTGGGGATGGGGCGGGGGAGGGGGAGGAGGGTGTCAATGGGGGAAAAATGAGAAACATCTGTAACAAAAACAAATTAATAAATAAAAAATAAATTAATTAAAAAAATAAAAATAAAAGTGGTCAGGTAAGGCCTGTCTTGAGCAGCAACCTGAATGAAGTGCAGAAGAGGGCCCTGTGAACTCTGGGAAACACCATTCCCAGGAGAGGGGTAGGACCTGAGGCAAGTGAGTTCTGGGATGTTCCGCGAACCCCGTGAGGGACAGTGAGGCTGGATGCAATGAGCAGAGGATGATCGGTAGGTGGCGCCTTGGAGGCCGTCACGCACACAGGAAGCCACTGAGGGCCACCTCTCTCCCACAGGCCAAGCACAATGCTTAACACCTAGGAGGACCTTCTCAGTAACTGTCGGGTAAAAAATTAAGTGACATACAATGTGGGAAAATAATAGGTTTCTACTTCAGTATCTACCCCTTCAGCGGGGATAAAGCATAAAACATTTCCCCAAATGACTTGACTATGGACTATGGATTTCCTGGATCATTTTCGGGGACTTTGGTTCCATAGTGTGGGAGCCTCTGCTGTAGAAAGACCTTGGTTTTCCAGTGTGGGTTCATAAGAGCAAGCTGGACAGCATAATATTCTAGAAATTCAAGTTCAAATCCGATTCAAGGGCAGGATGCAGGGCACAACTCAACACGATTTTCCTTTCAACCCTCTCTTCCTTTTGTTTTCCTGATCAAGGTATGAAAAAATATCTCTTCTGTAGCTTATCCCAAAGAGACTAGACTTTTTCGAATAAGTTTTTACTTATAACAAAAGGAGAAATGACGGTGGAGACATAGAGGCCTTCCTGTCCTGAAGGTCTCGGAACCATGTCTTCATTCGGAAGGCGGGGACCACCTGTGCTGCCTCCACATTCCTGTTGGCCACACCCGGATCCTCCTGAGATGGCCCATCGCAGCCTGTGGGGGAGCTCGCCTTGTACGCCGGCCTGCTGCTCTCGGGGAACCCTAAATCCTCGGTCCAGCAGGCCTGCATGGACTTTAGGTGCCATCATGCTTCTCAAGAGGGCTATGTTCATGACGATAGTCTGCCTGCCCCTGTTTTAGTTCCCAATCAACACAGTTCCTTCCTGGCCCCCTGGCTGTGTTTAAACCGTCCCGTCTCCCCACAGGTGATTTGATGTATACATTAGGAATGTCTGGCTTTGCAAACGATTCCATATCCAGGAACGCTCGTGGGTCATTCTGTCCGTAAGGTCTAACCCCCTTCTAGGCTCAAGCAGGTTCTGTATTTTTCCTTAGTCCAGAGACTAAGCCTGCTTCCCTTTCATCTGTAACCCAGTAAACACATTTCCCCAGAAGGTCCTCTCTCCCATTCCTGGCTACGTAATCAAATGCTGCCTTCTCAGACACTCACTTCTTCAAAGTTAAAAGTAGTACTTTTTAAATTTAAGAGTTTTATTGGTAATCGTGATGGAAAAATATAAACAAGGGCTACACATGAGAAGACATCATACAGGCAGCACAGATGTGATCATTCTTTCCGTTTCTGTTCTGGTCTAATATTATGAAATATTAAGGAATGTTCTGAAATGTAACACACACATATACACACGTGCATACTCAATACTTAGACAAGGCACGTTGAAATAAGTGCCTTTATATCATAAGTACATATTTTTCATCCTAATTTTAATGTCTCATCAAAGTTTGGCTTTGGTAACCAGATGTACAAGGCCCGGTATTGGTCTCTTTTGTCAACTTCAACCTTACTTGGAATAGATTTGGGGGAATAAATGTTTGACCCACTGCAAGTTTCCTACTGAGACAGATTTTAATTTTGTGCCAAAACAGGTCTGATAGAGTTCTCAGTGAAACACGATGGCGAGGCCCTGGCCGGTTTGGCTCAGCGGTTAGAGCGTTGGCCTGCGGTCCGGAGAGACCCGGGTTCAGTTCCCGCTAAGGGCACATACCTCGGTTGCAGTTTGTCCCCGGCCCTGGTTGGTCGTGTAGGCGGCAGCCACTCGATGTGTCCCTTTCACATCGATGTTTCTCTCTCTCTCTGTTCCTCTCTCTCCCTCCCACTCTACCTGAACAAAAAATGGAAAAATGTCCTCGGGTGAGGATAAAAAAAAACACAAAAAAACACTATGGCGAGCATTATTCTGCCCATTTTTCAAATGTGGACATTTAAGCACAGACATACTAAAAAGCTTGCCCAAAGTCACACATCTAGCACACTGCAGATTCAAAACTGGAATCCCAACCTACCTCACTCTAAGGTCGAGGGGCCATAGCACGGTCCCCCTGGACTCAGGACTCCAGCACCCCACACGGCCGCCATTGTCCAGCTTCCCTGGCCTCGCAGTTCTCCTGCCTCTGGCCCCGTGATGAGGGGGGGATTCTTCTCACTTGAGCTAAAAGAATCCTTTCCTGGGGTCAGGCAATCCTTTTCAATTTTGGAAAATACTTCCTTTGTCCCTTCTGGAGGTCTTTGTGGCTCTGGACCTGGAAGTCCTTCCTTCCCCAGATGGATTTTATTGTCATAGAATGAATTCAATTTGACTAGATACATAGTCACCATCTTGTTTGATAAGACCTATATGTTGAGGTGAAGCTCATTGTGCTAGGCACTGGAAATGTTATAGTGAATAATATTGACCTAAGTTCTACTCTCAAGGGAATAACAGACTGTAAATAGACTCCCGAGGGATGGGCGAAGGTGGCAAGGACACAAAGATGAGGCAGGAAAAGTGGACGCCCGTAGAAGGTTACCAGCCAGTTGAGGAGATTGGTCCTTATCCTGCAGGAGGATGATGGAACGCGCGTAAAGATTTTATGTAGGGGAATAGAACAGCAGCATAGAGGATGTATTTAGGTAGGACCACCAAAGGGGCAGAAGGATGATACAACCGTCTAGGAAGGGTTCTCGAAGTCATGTCCTTGGACAAGCAGCCTCAGCTTCACCAGAAAGCGTGTGAGAAACCCAAATGCCTGGACTGTGTCCCAGAACGATTTCTATTCTGATTTATCAAGGTTGACTGACAAATAAACATTGCATATATTTAAGTTTACAATGTGATGTTTTGATATACTTATCCATTGTGAAATGATTACTACAAACAAGTTGATTAACATATCCATCAACTCATGTAGCATTTGTGTGTGTGTGTGTGTGTGTGGTGAGAACACTTAAGATATACTGTTTAAGCAAATTTTAAGTCTGGACTACATTATTATTAACTATAGTTACCATGCTGCACATTAGATCCCCAGAGCTTAGTCATCTTATAACTAACAGTTTATACCCTTTGACCAACATCTCTGTTCCACCCCCAACCCTCAACCCTGAAAACTGCCATTTTACTCTGTTTCTGTGAGTCTGACTTTCTAAAATTCAACCACAACAGAAAATGAGATCATTCCGTACTTCTTTTTCTGTATCTTGCTTATTTCACAATGTCCTCCAGGTTCATGCATGTTGTCACAATTGGCAGAATTTCCTTCATTTTTAAGGCCAAATAATATTTATTTTATGTACAGGCCACATTGTCTTTATTCATTCATCCACTGATGGGCACTGAGGTGTTGCCTCGGCATGGCCAGTGTGAATACTGCTGCTGCAAACATGGGTGCGGATTCCTCTCCAAGCTTCCGGGAGCTGTTGAGTCAGGAGCTTGGGGCCGAGGCCAGTGACCTGGGCTTCCCGACGCATCTCCAGGTGAGGCGCTGGTCTGGGAAGTCCAAGCCCCAATTACTACAGGCGGTAAAGGGGCAGAGCACGCCTGTAAAACATTAGAAGGGAATGCTAAGGTATTCAGATATATACTTGATTAACTGAACACGGAACATGAGTGACTGGATCTCTGGACTCGTGCCATTAGCAAAACAGTTTTCCAGAATCCTAACCCATTCACTTTTCCAGAACGTCTTAAATAAATCAAAAGAAAGAAAGAAAAACACCTTTGCAGAGAGAGTTAAGAGTGGTTCAATCCATCTAAGCCAGTGATTCATTCTTGCTTTAATGCCTGGGAAGATAACAGGCTCACTTATTTTTCCATTTTTTGGAACAGCCAACGTGGGGGTTGAATGGCTGCAAAGCTTTACCTCCACTGAGGTCTTGCGGTGTAACAGTCAGTCTGGCGTGCTGCTGCCCGTTGTGTTCCCATTTACCCACTTATGGGACACTCTTCCTGGAAGAGAGATTTCTCTGACATTAACCATTTTGATGTCTCATTTCCTGGGACAAATACCATCCATCATTTTGGGTTTTGCAGAAGAGATTTTATTCTTGGAAATTATTTTTATATCAATGTAAACCAATTTTCGTCCTGAGTCAGATGTAATAGATTAGGCAACCCTTAACTTGAGCTTCCTGCTCTCACATTGTACAGGTTCTGTGTACTTAAACTTGAGATTTATTCCTGAAAAGCCAGTAATTGGGTCCTGGTGCTATGTGAGAATGTTTCAGATGAACCACGGAGTTAGGACATTTCTTTGGTGGTTTCTAATCTGTTTCTTTGTCAAAGCATCTCAGAGTTCTGAAAACTAGCAATGTGTGTGGATTTTTCTTTTTCAATTTTATCACATGAACTTCAGTGGTCAATACAAAGCCACCTCATTCATAAAAGTGATGTTTCTGCTACTCTGAAATTAAAGTGAATTTCAGAAAAGCAAAAGACTTCTGTTATAACAGTCAACAGGTTATATACATTTATCCTTTTCATGCATTCAACAAATGTTTATTGAGGACCTACCCTAGGCAAAGAATTTTGCAAAGCCCTGTGGAGAACATAGATGTAAATAAATTATGAACCCATTCTAAAGTTCAGAGTCTAGGGAGGTCGGGTTCTCTTTCCGACATTGCAACTATCATCCATACCCAACTGTCACTGCAAAAAAGGCTCTTAGGTTCTTGAGACAGCTTGAGTCCTCTTAGTAGCTCTGTTTTCTCTCTTGCCTGGACAGTAGTTTCCAGTAAAGTAGATGGTTTCTTAGATGATAGGGCCAGACTGTTATTCTCGGAGCCATTTATAAACCTGGTGTAATTCAATATGGATAAATTTAAGTTCCAAAACGTATACCCCCAAATCCCAACAATCTATGTAGATGACAAAGAAGGTGTGGTTTTAAAGTGACACAAATAGCCCTGGCCGATTTGGCTCAGCAGTTAGAGCATTGGCCTGCGGACCAGAGAGACCTGGGTTCGGTTCCCGCTAAGGCCACGTACCTTGGTTGCAGTTTGTCCCCGGCCCTGTTTGGGGTTGTGTGGGTGGCAACCAGGTAATGTGTCTCTCTCTCTCACATCGAAGTTTCTCTCTCTTCCTCCCTCTCTCCTTCTCAGTCTATCTGAAGATAAATGCAAAAATGTCCTTGGGTGAGGATAAAAAAAAAAATTAAAAAGTGACACAAATATAAATATGACCTGAATCTTACCTGGCTGAAAGCTTGATATGAGTCAGTGAATACAGCTTGGACTACCTTTTTAAGGAAATCTTCACCTGAGGATACATGTGTTGATTTTAGAGAGAAAGAAAGGGGGCGGGGGCAGAGAGAGAGAAACGTTGATATGAGAAACATCAATCGGTTGCCTCGGTATGCGCCCCTACTGGGGATGGAACCCACAACCTTTCTGGTGTGTACGATGATGCTTCAAGCAACGGGGCCACCTGGCTGGGGTGGGCTACCTTTATAGTGGGATAAAGAAGCAACGATCCTCCATTTTCCTGCACTACTCAGGCAACACTGAGAATATTACATTCAGTTCTGGGCACAGCCATGAAATACTTCAGAGATTTTAGAAATAACCAGAGAACATGACTCTGGTACACGTAAAATATATGTGACACTCATGCCATAAATGTGTTCATTTTTTCATGGGTAAGCAGTTTGGGGAGCAGATTTACAATTCAGCAAGGCCAGTGTCATCAGTACAAGTTCAGCTGGGACACCGAGTCCTGCTGTCCTGCGGTGACCACTTCCTCCCGACCTGGCTCGTTGTCTCAGCCCGCGGCCGGGGGAGAATCCCGGGAGGCACTGCCGATGCGCAAGAGAAACCCATCCCTGCACCAGAAAACCG